CGGTGAGGGGTGGGGACATTCTGGGGGAGAGCCATTCGTGTTGGTGGTTTTCAAGTTGGCAGAATAGTGTCATCGTGCTCTTCTCTGACATAGGTTCAGCTCTTTGGGGCCCAAAAAGACAAATCGAGATTAGTAAAGAAAATGACATGCTCTTGGCACACTGTGGCTTGTATTGAGGAAAACATGACCCAAATTTGAACATCCAACTTAATTCTTAGTAATTGGAGATGGCTTCTCATATCTCTTTCTGTTTAACTGTAAAACTATAAAAATGCTTGCCGTTAAGTTTAGGCAGCTACTACTCACAATGGCAGGTGAACAGACTCTTATATTCCCAGCTTGGGCTAACCTGGGTGTAGTCTATGCTCCCTCACAGAGAAAGCTGCTCTCATAGTTTAAACCGCATGTTCCTCACCTGGGACGGCAGAGGCGTGGAGCCAGCACCGAGTGTGCTAGGAAGACGGGGAGTGAGGACTCTGGGGTTCTAGTCTCAGGTTGGCTGCGAACTGGCTGCGTGAACTCAAGGAAATCATCATATCTGTCTAACTGAGATTATCTTTTCGACAAAACAGTCAGGTCATTTATCTGTAAGGTATTTTCTAGCTCTGAATTCTGCAATATCTATTCTTTGCTTGTAGACTTCCTTCCTAGCTATTTTGTAATTATTTACCCTTTTCTTAAAATCAGGGTTTCCCTCATTCTCCTTGTCCTGTTACCTCCTCACTCATGCTCACATGGCTGTGGGAGAACACAGAGAATTGACATGGAAAGATGGCCCTGATATATGATTGAGTAAAAGAGTCTACTTGCAGAGAAGTGTGCATGGTGGGATCCATTCTAAATAATAATGACAATGATAGTAATATTAGTACAAGTCCATGTCTTTTATTTGAACTGGTGGGGCCAGGTGTGTTTCTGAATTGAGAATTTTTCATTTTTACATAGGGCCATGTATCATTTATTAAATAACACCTCCACTGGGGGTTGGGGGGGGCTATTAATCAAAAACATTAATTCTTCTGCAGTGAAACAGGAATATTCACAGTAAGTGGGATAAATAAAGATTACAAATTGCTTTATGTCAGTTCAGGTCAGATTTTGACACCAAATGTTAAAAATTTGGGGAGGGAGTTTGAAGCTTTTTGAATATCAGGATTGTAGGTAAGGGATTGTGGACCTGTATAGTCAAAGGGAAAAAAGTGTGGGAGATTGTGCACAAATCCTCAGCAATGGTTTTCTTGGGTGGGGTAGTGGGTGTGTTTATGGAGGACGTTCATTTTCCAACTTATGTTTTTTTGTAAGTAAGCACGTATAATTTATAATCAGAAAAAGTGATTAAGGATATGCATAAAATAGCTGGAAATGCATTTAACAAATCTATAGCAGTATTTTGTTAGGACACTGAGAATTGAATGATTTTTTTCCCCTTTGTTTTTCAAACTTATATAATGCGATTATATTCACATATAAATTTTTTTCTAGATAATAGTATTAGAAAAATAGAAAACAATATGTGGTAGTAATTACAAAGTCAGTGGGGAAAAATAAGTCCCTTGGAGTCCCGTGTGAAATCAGGAGCCACTCCTTCCTTACTGCTTTACCTTATACTGACCTGTCATGAATAATAATCGCAGGGAAGAAGAAAATGATAATAGCAGAATATAATGTATGGGAAAACACTTTGTGAAAACGTAAGGCCTCATAGAAATATAAGGTGTTCTTGAAGGAGGATTGTAACTCTTAGGGGACCCAGAATGAATGGAATTGGTAGGAATGAGTTTTGTTTGAAAATTGGCTGGAAGAATTCCTTCAAAATGGAAGGAACTTGCAATTTTGTGTATGGAATGTAAATGGGATGATTGATAGTTGTTTAATTTTATCAGTTGATACATAAAGTCCTATTTTATTCTTAATTTTCACACTTTTCCATATTTCTAATAAAAATACACTCATTTGTTACCCTTTCCGACTTGTGTAATCACAGTTTTGTATGTTGCTGCATAATAGCTGCATAATGTTTGTCATGGCTTTACATAATTTGCTGTCTTCCTATCACTATTTCTGATTTTCTTTTGTTACAAATAACACCTCTCTGTGCCTGTAGCTCTTGCTTTTTTTTCCGTATGCTATCTAGGGGTTGTTTTCTTAGGAAAGATGTTCTGAATGTATTACGAACTTAAAGTTTATTCCATGAGCATTTATTGAGCACCTACTGTGTGTGAGGCTCTGGAGATGCAAAGATGAATTTTTAGGACCCAGGCACAAGCTGTGTCCATTTCCTGCAAGTCTCTCCCTGTCACCTGGTCAATTCTCCATTTGAATTCTGCTTTACCGGGAGGGCTTCTGTGAGTCCCCAAAGTAGTTTAGGGTTTTCTGTATTTTTCCTTCTCATTTAATCACAGTTGTAAATATACAGTTATTCTGGAATTATTTGTTTCATTTCTGCCTTCCTCATTAGACTACAAACTCTGAGAGCAGGTCCCATGTCTCATTTGTTCCCCTTGGGGCCCTTTATACCTAGTGCCTTATACCTGGCATATACTAGGCACTCAAATAGCTCTAATAAATGAGTGGTCGAATAAATGAATTAAATGGACAAATGTTTGAATGTAACCCGCTTTGAGACACTTAAGACACTAGAGGTAATAAATGGATTGGATTGATAATTTCAGTGGTGTATAAGTTCTTTATAGAAAATAAACTTTTGTGGGCTGGCCCAGTGGTGTAGTGGTTAAGTTCATGAGCTCCACTTTGGCAGCCCAGGGTTCACGGGTTTGGATCCTGGGCGCTGACCTACACACTGTTCATCAAGCTGTGCTATGATGGCATCCCACATAGAAGAACTAGAAGGACGTACAACTAGGATATACAACTATGTACTGGGGCTTTGGGGAGGGGGGTGAGAAAAAAGAGGAAAATTGGCAACAGTTGTTAGCTCAGGGCCAATCTTCCCCACCAAAAGAAAGCATACCTGAAAAAAAAAAAAACAGTAATTGCTCAAAAAAAAAAATACATTTTTCCCATTTGTGACAAAGTAGTCCCTGGAGGAGGATTGAATATCAACATCTTGTTCAACATCTTACAACCTGACTTTTGCCCATACTCTGCAGTAGCAGTGGGCTCATCTTAAGTTCTTTTCTGCCAAAGCTTTTGCTATTCTGTGCAGAAACTTGTTCATCTGTCATTGCATTGTACATCATTAATGTTCACCTTTTGGACTTATTTTGGCGTCTTTGCTTTCTTGTTTTCATGTTATTTAAAAAAATCTGCTTCTTGGGGCTGGCCCTGTGGCCGAGTGGTTAAGTCCGCGCGCTCTGCTGCAGGCGGCCCAGTGTTTCGTTGGTTCGAATCCTGGGCGCGGACATGGCACTGCTCATCAAACCACGCTGAGGCAGCGTCCCACATGGCACAACTAGAATGACCCACAACGAAGAATGTACAACTATGTACTGGGGGGCTTTGGGAAGAAAAAGGGGAAAAAAAAATAAAATTAAAAAAAAAAATCTGCTTCTTCAGGACCTCTTTTACTGGTCTTATCTGATAACTATACCTATTTTGGTCTTTATGCTCTTTTAAAAACTGTTAGCTCCTTAACGGAAGGGATGGTTTGATCTTCAGTAGTGTCCAATACAGATTTCTGTAGAAGAGAGTTGGTAGTAAAACTTTGCTAGGAGACTCTAGAAGATCTATTTCCTTATGTATCTATTTTCTTTAATGTATCCCTTGGGTCAAGTGGAGGATTGTTTTTTAAAGGATGATAATCAAATAAGCATTTAAGTAATTTGGACCAAAATTTATCTTCTTACCTTTTTAGTAAAAAACACACATTAGATAATTTTAAGGGAAGCTTTTGTAGTCTTAAGTTCAAGATTGAAATCTCTTGGCTGCTATTGTGTTGACTTATCATTTGCTTCGTGGGCGGCTTCTGAATTCATTTCTTGGAATGTTACTACTCAGGGCCAGTGTTGTTAGTATTGCTACGTCATGATTTTATTTGTTGACACTCCCACATTCTAGCTGACCCGGAATCTGGAAGATCTCCACCAAAACACCTGTATAATCCAGTCTGAATTTAGAAGTGTCACTTGTGAGAGCAGCAACCTTAGACCCATGAGACTCAAATGAAGTCCTTTAATCATAGATCTCCTTATACATGATAGAAACTGGCAGGTGACTCACCAGGGGTGGAAGCCTAGAAAACAGCCTGCCAAGGAGAGTAGTCTTTCTGGTAACCACCCTTTTGAAGCATCCAGAGAACCTGAAGAGCAGGAACTGCCAGTCAGACGGACTGAACGCTTGGCATTCTTTCATGGAAAGATAACTCATCCGGAGTGAAAGAGGAAGTGGAGGGGGCATGGAACAGGAGGGTGACCTGACATTTCCATTGTTTTGTAGGCTTCCAGCTCTAGTGCAGTGGTAGTTTGGGGGAGGGGAGGAGTTGGAATCATGTACTTCCATTGTTGCTGTCCTGAATGGATGTACTGTGCCATTTTGTCCAGGAGGAGAACTTGTATCCATCTTATCCTTGTGTTTCTTCAGAGTCCAGATTTCTGGTGATCCCTGCTATTGCCTTCACACTGAGCCCCGGACTTTACTGATTATAATTCTAGCATCAGTTTAAGAACTGGGGTTCTCCTATGCCAAATTTCTGTGAAATTTGAGAGCCAAAAGGCTTTTGACAGGCTATTTCTGGCTTTGCTCCTGACATGTTTTGAGTGTCAGTAGATTTTTTTTTTTTCGGTTTGTAAGCTTACATAGTAAGAGTCAAGGGATTTAACTGCAGTCGTAGTGTTATTTTGATAATTTATTAAGTGTTCTCTTGGGAGATCTTTGGGGGAAAAAAGAGAGTTATCTTCTTTAGTTCTTTGTTGCTAAGGCTAGAACCTTCCTGAGAGTAGGATGAAGATTTCAGTGGACAACCAGTGTTGAGGAGGCTTTCTATAGAATGGTGGCTCATCTGAACACTGGTCAGTACCCACAATTTTGTGACATAGCCATGCTTCTGCCACCTTTGGCCAGCAGCACTCCAGACCCAGGCAGAAGCCAGGACTGCCTTCTCCACTCTGCGCCTGGGCCACCGAGTTGTGCAGGGGAGACTTGTGGCTGAGCACGTTGGTGCTGCCCGTTTCTCCCCGCTTCTACTGAACAATTACTCCAAGAAGTCATTGTTCTCCTAAGGCTTCTCCACTGCCCTCCCTCTTAACAGATGACCTTGCATCTGACTTCATTAAGAAACTTGAGACTTCCTCGAATGGTTGCCACCAATTTCCTGTCCTGATGTCTGCAAACGGATGTGTAGTCATAGTTATCCTCACCTGCTTGTCTCCAGGTTTATCCCTTCCCTCATGCTTCCTCCTAGGCCTTACTCTATTAGTCATTGTGCCTTCCTGTCTCTCTAATTTTCCACCTTTGCATCTTGACTATCTCTTTCCCTTGGCTGTGAAATGTTCTCAGTGTTTTCCATTTTTGCATGTCTTGTGCTTACTAATGATCCTTCTGCTTGTCAAATCCAGTGGATGTGCTATAGTCCTTATTTTTCTTGACCTCCTTGTTGCAGTTGATACACCTTATCTACTCACTTCTCCTGAAGAGTCTTTGGCTTCTGGAAGGGATGGTCCATGCTTTTGATTTTCTTGCTGTTTCTCTATCCTGTATCTCCTTCGTGGACTTTTCTTCCTTTACTCACCCCTTGCTGTGGAGTTAAGTTCTGGGAGTACTGCTACTCTCTTCTCACATACTCTGGCTTCAAGGCTTCATCTTCTCACTGGGTTTTCATCACCATCTATGTGCCCATCACTCCCATGTCTCTGCCTTGCACTGTAGCCTGATGTCCAGCCATTTGCTGGCTGTCAAGTATATATCTGAGAGGCTCCTTAAACTCACAGAGGCCGAGCCTCTTTTAGTTATCCTCATCCATGGAGTCATCCTTAGTGCCTGTTTTCTTTAGCTCCTATATTCACCCAGGCACCCAGTATGACTGATTTCTAATTACTGTTTGCTTGCTAGTTCTGGAAATTTCTGAGTTATCTCTTGTCTGGATTCTCACTACTGCTGCCTGAATGCAGGCCCTTGTTATTACTCTCCAAGATAAAGCCACAACCTCCTGCCTTGTTTTTGTTCTTGCAAATCCAGTACACCACCAGGTGGCCTCTCTCTAACAGGACATCTCCCCTGGTTGAAGCCCTCTGGTAACTCCCATTATATGGAAATCAAAGACCAAACTTCTTAATCTACTGGCTCTCCTCTGGCCCTTGGTGACATTTTAGGCTCTTTTCTTACCACTCCCTGACTCCAACTTTAGACTTGAGCCACACTGTCTTGCTATGTTCCATGTGCGTGCCATACCTTTTAGGCTGTTTCTCACCTTTATTATCCATACTGCTTGGAATGCTCCCTTCCCTGCTTTTGCCTTACTAACTCCTTCTCATTCTGAGGACTCATCTCAGGTGTCACCTCCTCCAGGAAGCCTTCCTCGGCCCCTCCCAGGATGGGTTAGGTAACCTTCCATAGAGTCCTATCACTCTCTGTGCTCATCAGGCATTTCCTGTGTTGGAGCATGATCAATTTATATGCTTTTCCTTCCAATGTAAGTCCTGAAGGACAGAAACTCTGTGTCACTCAACTTTATATTTTTGTGCCTAACTTGATGCTTGCCATGGGTAGGTGCTCATGAAATGTTTGTTAAATGAGTGACTGAATTCAAGAATGAGCGAACCTCCAGATGACTTTGATTTCCAGTTTGTGTGGACCGCATTGTTCTGGGGCAGGGCTGGGTAGCAGCGGTTCAAGCCACGCCCAGGCAGCCGCAACTGAAGCAGCATGCTAATATCCCTTCCTCTGAGTCCCTAGTCCTAGATCCGCGGGTGGGACTGTCAACTCAGGAGTGTCAGAGCCTGAAAATTATTCCTCTGAAGAACAGAATGAAATATCGCATATTATTGGCTTAATTCTTATGTTTCCCCCCCCGGTGAACACCTTGATATTTTAGACTTCTGGTAGTGTTAACACTTTCTGTTTGCATTTCTGTTGTATCTTCCTTGATGGGAGATACTTCAGGTGTCAAGTTTTCTGAGTCATGTTATACTAGGTGGAACTACTTTCCATCAATATGGGGATACAGACCATGTATATTACTCTGAGATGGAATTTCTTTAGGAATGTAAGTAGACTGATCTACTTTCGAGGCAGCTTGTATCCTAATTTTCTGTTTAAAAATGATAATAGCAAAACACTGACAAGTCTAAACTTTTTAGACGTTTTAGAACTGTGCTGCCCAGTATAGTGGCCACTAGCCACATGTGGCCACTTAAGTTTAAATTGAATTAAAATTTAAAAATTCAGATCTGCAGACACATTAGCCACATTTCAAGTTATCAATAGCTACATATGGCTCATGGCTACCTATTGGATATCTCAGATATAGAGCATTTCCATCAAGGCAGAAAGTTCTATTGGACAATACTGTTTTTGAATGTAAGAGTCTTGGTGGATAATTTCAAAGCCACCTCACCACAGATGGAGTTTTACAGAGCTATGAAATAAGAATTCTTACTGGGAACACCATGTAACTGCTATATCATTTTATATAGTATATATAGAATTATATTACCTTGTCATTTGAGCATGTCCCTATCTTTAGGGACAGCAACATTTAGACACCAAATAATGTTATATAGTCTGTTTGGAAATGTTTTCTTCTACAGTGTGAAGGGGAAAAGGAAGAATGTGGGTTGAGTAAATGGAATTATTTTTCTTTGCTTCACGGTATTGAAAAATTCAGAGGCTAAAATGTATCCTGGAACTAAATATTTACATTTCTTAAAGCCATGTGTGTTTTTCTTTCTTTCTTTCTTTTTTGGATGAAAAGGAAACAAGGGATTTGTATTGTTGGATAATATACAAACATTTTTAAAATTAAAAGCAAAAGAAAGACAAGATATTCTACTCTTTTATTTTCCTCCACAGTTGTCTTATCTACTTGGCTTCCAGTGGGCTGAGGAATTTAAGGAGTAAGCATGGGTTTAGTTCAACTGGAACCATGCTAGGTAGCTCTAGCTATCTTTAATACCACAGAGTTCATTAGACTGTTTCATTGTGGTGCAGCAATGAAATTTTACACTGAATACCCTGGATCTCAGTATTGTAGAGGGATGGGAGGGATGGGAATGATCATTTGGGAAGAAAAAGAGCGAGAGACGCAGTCCATCTCACACACACAGTTAGACTTACCCACAATTGCCGTGCATAGGGAAGTGTGAGTTATTCCACGATTAAAGGCCCTGGGAGACCAGAGGTGGCTCCTACCTGCATGGCTTCAAAACTCAGTTCAGAGGCTGCAGCAGTGGGATCTGTTGTGGGGTGTGGAGAGTTGTTTGATTTCATCTCAGCAGCTTCTTCCCCCAGTCTGTTCAAAACAGTGCCTGGGGAAGTTCTTAGGTTTAACTTTTTCTTGAGCTATGAGCTTGAGGGTGAAGGGGGCTGAATTCCTGCTTTTACCCTCCTGTGCCTTTTTCCTGTCAGGATGCCTTGTTCCTGAGGAAGACAAAGAGGACCTGTGAGTTGGAGTATGGAGTGGAAAAGTTTGTGTGAGAGTGACGAGCGAAGGTGTTTATCCTAAGAATCACGATGCTTGTCATAGTACGGGCAAGGAGGGTTCCTGACCAAGAGGAACAAGTTATTTTACCAAGGAAACTTTTAAGTTACCAATGAAACATTAGAATTTCAGAGAGTTAATTATTTGTGGACTTTGTTCATGGTTTTTCTGAAACTTGCAACTCTGTCCTCTTCAATCACAATGAGGCTCCTTCTATATCCTTTGTGTCCTCTTCTGAGAAGAGGCACTGCAGCCTAGTGTTATGAACGTGGCTTTGGAGCAGATAGACCAGGGAGGGGAACTTGGGGTCACTGCTTGGACAAGGTTTTTAAATTTCTGAACCTTAATTTTATAACCTGTAAAATGGGAATAATAATGCTTACCTCACAGGCAAGATAAGGACATTCCTATGTGTGGAATAAAAAACTAAGTCGAGTTGACTCATTTTCAGAAAGACCTTTAAAGATGAATAAATGTGCCATATTTCTTGATCATTTTTATGATTATATTTGGTCATTTTTTTTTTTAGTTTTACCACACATATTCACTTAGTGTTATAAAACTATTAGAAGAAAGGGCTCTTGGTGAAATCAGACAATCTCAGAATCTGTGCTACTACTAGGGAATTAGAAAATAAAATTGAATGTGATCAAAAGGATCTGTTTTAATAGCAAATTCCTTTTTAAGACAAATTGCTGTATTATTTAAAAGAAATCAAAGGTTCAAGGAAAATGAGGAAACTAGGAAATTCAAAGGATATTCATTAAAAAACCCACAAAACCCTTGATTATTTGAAATTTTTGCTGTTTTGAGTAATATCATTTCTTGGTTTCAATCTAGCCTAAGAGAAATAACAAATCCAAGTTATCTTCCAGAGAGTTTTTGAGGATAGACTATTCAGTTTTGACTGATCATATATATTATTGTAGATTTGTAAAAGGTTTCATGTGATTCTGACACAGAGGAGGTGGAATTATCAAGTGTTCCTCCCTAGAACACTAGGCAATGATCATCACAGGAGGAAATGAAGTTCCCTTTTCCTTAATGCCTGGGTTGTTTGGGCCAGCATTACTGAAGACGTGTGTTCTGTTGAAGCCACATGTGTTGATGACCCTCTTTGCATCTGATACTGGGTTAATCCCCAGGGGTGCTAGGATGGCTAAAGTATAGTCCCAGCTTTGGAGATGCATATCATGCAGAAGGGCATGTGGATGTGAGCACAGGCACTGTCAGAACTAAATGATGAGTGTCATGTAAGAGAGCTGGGAGATGACAGAAAACAGCTTCCTACTGCATCCAAGAAGAAGGGAGGTCAGTACAAGGCTTCTTGAAGAAGTCACCAGAACTGAGTCTTGAATGATGAATAGGACTTAGTCAGATGATGAATGGGCAAGAGAGGAGGAGAAGGGCATTGTAAGCTAAGCAACAGTGTGAGTATTAATCCAATAGTCTGTGTATGCTTGTAATTTCAAGACATATGGTGTTAATTGAGCGCAAAGCTTGGGGTGGGAGTCAACGGCTATAGAGAGGTGTAGTTGGGAGCCAGACCATGAAGAGCCAGGGATACTGTGTGAGGGCCTAGAGTATATGCTCTAGCTGATGGGGAGCCATTGAAGAATTTTAACCAGGGGTGTAAATGGTCAGATTTGCCTTTTGGAAGGGTAGCTGTGGCAGCTTGGTGGCTTATAGATTTGAGGCTGGATGGCAGGAAGCTATTATGGTAAGACAGATGAGAGAGGATCAGACATGCAAGAAAGCAGTGAAAATCAGGGCTGGAGATGAGAAGTGCCTAAAATGTGAAGTTTATGTGACTTTGATCATTGGCTGTGGGAAATGGATGAGATGGAAGAGACCAGAATGACTCCTAAGGTTCTGGTGTCATCATGGATCTAGGGAATGTAAGAGGAAGAATGGACGTGGGGGCCAAGGTCATATGTTGATTTGAAAGTGTTCATCAGCCAATTGAATGTGAGTCGGAAGCTCTGGGAAGGTGGGTGGCTGGAGATATCAATCTGCGAGTCATCCGCATAGAGGTGGTATTTCAAACCATGAGAAGTTTGACGCCCAAGGAGAACACAGAATGAAGAGGGCAGTGGACAGAGGACGGAGTCCTAGGGAAGATCAGACAGAAATGAGGGATAGATGAAAGAAGACATTCTTAGAGAATATTCAGAAGAATGGTTCTGAAGGCTGAATCCGTGGTATCATCGTAGCTGGGAGGGGAAACTTTCAAGAAGTTTGAAGTTGAGATAGCTAACCCTAAATCACCCTAAGTATTTGATGAAGTAGCAGGCAAGGTAGAACGGAATTGGGAGCTTGAAGAGAATGGAGGTTATTTGAAATGTTCCAGTCACTGAAGTATATGTGAGATGAGCTGATCAAGGAAAAATGAAGGAAATGTGAAGAGGTACTGAGGCCCAGCTGAGATGAGAAACTATGAATTTGCAGGGGCTCTGCTATATTGTGGCTCCCCGGCCTGTACGCAGGAGCAGAGGTGGCAGATGATGAGATTGGCCCAAGGTGGGGTTTTGCCAGTGAGATGTGGCAGAAAAGCAAAGACACAGGGGTTGCTGGTGAGAACTGGGAAGGAAATGTGGCCAGAAGGGGCATAAAAGGCTGGAAGGAAACAGTTCATTGCGTTGGAGGGCTCTGTTTGGTCAAGGAACAGGGTAGTGGGTGAAGGGCAGAACAGGGTAGTGGGTGAAGGGCAGGAGGCTGGAGGGTGGTGTCGATTTCAGGACAGCAGTGGCAGGGTGTGGCCATGAGAGCGGATGGCAGAAGTGGTCTGGCAGTGAAAGCCAGCTGAGTGGACGGCCTGCAGGGAAAACTCTGTAGAAAAGGGACTTTGATTCTACTTGGACAAACCTATAGTATTCACACTGAATTACAAGACTGAATATGTAGAATAAAAAACTGTATTTGGATGTTTAAGAACATGGTAGATACATATGTGTCCTAAATATTTTGAGCAGTCTTCCTAGATGTGGAGGCATCTCACGTCAGTATCTCTGAAGACTCCTGTTGGGATTCATTTATTTAAGGTGTGGGAGAAAGCCTGAGTTTGTGTCTCTCTAAGGAGGAAAATAGGAGAAAGCTTTGACAGTGAATATAATTTATGGTATGACTTTATGTATGTATACTTTTCAAAGTTATGTCGTCGTTTGCTATTCAGTTTGGTGGTTCTGGGTGATCTATTAAAAGTCAATTTTTAGTTTGTTACTTTCTGTAGAGAGGGTAGGAAGGAATATATAACCCACATGTTTCACTGGGTACGAGAATGGGTTATTAACAGGAAGAACTAAAAGCTCTAGATAAGTCTAAGTATTTTCTCGTGCTAAGGAAGGAAATAAATTGATGCTGAATTATATGCACTTCTATGCAATCCCACCTAAAGGTTCATTTTTGACTTTATATATTTCTATATTTAATTTTTTTAACTGCAGACATCTATGTCTTCTGAAATGCGAAAAAAATCAAAACAAATCACATTGGCATGTATTTTCTGGTCTCTTACTATGTGCTGGGCGGTGTGAGGACACAGAGATGCGTAAGACTTGATTCTTGTCCCCAAAGAGCTTCAAATTTAGTTGAAGAAAGAAGACATAAACATAGAAAGCTTAGATAATTAGGCAGGATTCAAATAGCAAGGCCATATACGACTAATGGACAGATGCATTGTTCAGACAGCAGTTCTACAGGAGTTCAGAAGGAAGGTCATTCCAGGCTTTGGCGGTAAAGGAAGAGTGGAATGACTTAAAAGATGAAGGGAAAGAAGAAAAGGATCAGATAGAGGGACTGATTCTTGGGAGTCACTGCAGCCTTGGTCAACTTGACTTTCACCTCCATTTCCCAGTCTGTAGAAGAGAATGATGATTTGTGGCCGCTTAGTCAGAAGGTGAGACAGTGATTGCAAAGCTCTTTGCAAATAAGGCCTGGTCCTTCCATAATGCGTAGGAGGTACAAACTGCACACCTTTGGAAGGCATGTGAAGTTTTAAGTTAGTAGAATGTCACTTCTATTGTTCATATTTACCAAGACAAAAAGAATTAGCATATTGCTGAAAGTTCAGCCTTTTGTTTTTCCAGTAAGGAAAGACTCATAAAACTCTGAAGACATTTTAAGCAAACAACCAGACACATTACCCCTTTGGGAAAATAGTTTCCATGTCCTTGTATCCTTTTTTATTTCTTTGAGAAAAGATAATAATTAATAAGGAAGCAAAACAGGAGGGGAACCAGATCCCAAGTGAGGAGGAAAATATTTATAATTCACCTGTTCACCTGGCACCCTTAAGGAAGTTCAGTGGAAGTTGCAGGTTGCCCAGTGATCACTTTGGGTGAACCTAGCCTGGATCCGGCATTTTGGAGACTATGGTCTCAGAATTCATGGGTTTCCTGGATAGGATATAAGGACATGGATGTCACCACTTCAACTTTATTGTTAATTGCTTTGGGAATATGAATGGTATTCATTAGGCAAGGAAGCTTGTACCCAGGCATAACTATATGGACCCTTCTTACACAGCCAGCCATCCTTCAACATCTCTGTGTCCCATGTTTCTGTGTATAGTTATACTTACTTCCATTGCCAAAGACTTTGAGCCATTCCGGCCTCCTGGGGCTCTTAGTGTAATGGCCATGGAAATGGGACCTTAGAACTTTATCCTTAAATCCACTGAGAGTACCTTTCTGTCTCGGCAGGTGGCTCCTTCTGCTGTGGTCTTCCTTTTCTCTAAGGTAGCAGTAGTAAGATGCACTAAATGTGAAATATTTTGAGCAGGGAACTCTATTTTCCTGAATATACTCACTTTCCTACGTATTCCATTGCTTCAGTCCTTCACTGCTTCCAGAACTGGGGACCCAAGGATCATAAGCAGGACTTTTTCCTACTTTGGCAGATTGGGGACCTAGAGCCAAGAGAAGGCAGAAGGTGTGACAAAGGGCAATAGGAAAAGAGGAGAGAGAGACAGGATGATGAAGAAAGCGTGTATTACAGCCAGAGGGAAGGAGTACAGTCAGCGAGTGATTCTCAAGATCACGTCTGCCCCTACCCCAATAGAAACTTCCACGTCTGACTCAGTGTCCTCAGAGGACATGCACCCAGGAAAGCAAATATGAGTTGGTGCCACTCGTGTGTGTATGTGTGTCAGAGGCCAGCCCTGATGTAACTGCCATCAAGGTCACAATGGGTGAGGTCACTGTGGGTGAGGTCATTTGCAGGAGGCACAGTGTGCCCAAGCTGCCCCTTGGTACTGCTCTCCTCTTGTGATTTCCCTATTTTCAGCACCCAGTTTGGTGCCTGGCACACAGTAGGTGCTCAATAAATGTTTGCTAGATGACTAACTGGATGAAGGGATGCTAACTCCAGCCCCTGTCGGAGGTTCTGTGACCTGTAATTGTTCTGGAAGGAATGAGATGACCCAGAGTGGATTTGTGTCCTCGTTACAATGAGTTGTTACAACAATTGCAAATAATGTCACTCAGAGAGACTACAGGCTCTTCACCTGGGGTGCTTGGAGGAGCTTCCAGGTGTCTGAGATCCTCATAAAATAGGCTGCCATGTTAGGATTTTCTAGTGAGAGAGCCAGAGGAGTCTGTGACCCAAGCAGGCTGATCAACAGTGCTTCAACCAGGCATGTTCCTCCTGTGGCCATCACCACCCCCTCTACTTCCAGCATCCGCTACTTCCAGCATCCTCTACTTCCAGCATCTGCTGTAGGTTCCTGTCATGCACAGCCCACCCTTCACTCCTCCCTGCCTATGACCAGCACTTCCTCCAACTGCCCCTGAAAAATAAAGAAACCACACTTCCAAGATGATCTTTCCTTTGAGCCTTGTGTGTCTTGATGGGGAAGAAGGCTTCATGTTAATGGGCCCTGAGATGGGGAGGCTCCTCCAGATGGATTTGTAAGAAAAGCCTTTGAAGGTAGAGCCGAACTTCTGGAGTCGCTGCTCAGCAGACACACGGATGTTTATGAAATGAAGGAGGAGCAACTAGGCCAGAAGTCCGAGAACCCATGCTGAGGTGCCCTTTGGCAGCTCATGTAACTCTCCTGTAGGTATTTTCTGTCTGTAAAACTAGAACTAGTACTAATTATCTTCTGACTGTGGTGCTAACATGGGATGATACCTGGAGGGTGCTGTGGAGGTTTAAATATTTTTGCAATTAAAAAAAAATTTAAATAGAAAGATATTTGATTATAATTGGTGACTTTTCCCTCCTAAAATAAATTTATTAAAAATTTTTACAGCCTTTGAAATTGATATATTTGGTATAGGCATTCAAAGCACAGTTGACCATAATTGGTACTTATGAGGAATTGTTTAAAGCATATGCAACAATGCGTGCAGGTATGCATTTATTTGTTATTAAATTATTCAAAAAATATGTAGAATCTAATATGTACCAGGCCCTGGGAAACGTGCTTCCTTTCGACACCCAAGCTGTATACTTGGCCAAATGGTTTTGGGTTTTGTAAATCTGCTTTATTCTGAAGAATGCTACTAGAATTTGCTGTACAAAATACACCATTGACTTATTGTTGGGATATTTCTGAGCAGGTTTGTAACCACTTTCAATGCACTCTTTATGAAGATGCGCTAAAGCAGTGGTTCTCAAACTTTAGCCTGCATCAGAATCACCCTGGAAGGGCTCAAAACCATCGATTGCTGGGCCCCACCTCCAAAGTTTGATTCACTAGGTTAAGGGTGGAGCTTGACTATTTGCATTTCAAAGAATTTCCCAGGTGATGCCGATACTACTGATCTGGGGAGCACACTTTGAGAACCACTGTCAGACATTTTTGTAGACCTAAGGGCCTTGGGAGCTCTGCTCCTCCTGAGAAATCGGTGAGGTTTCATTACGGTTGTTAACGTGAATTGTGTTCGTGATCCTGGTTCCCTTTTGGCTTCGCTTCAGAAATTCAGATTCAAATTGGGAGCTCAACTTCAATCAAAGTTAAACTGTTTACATTTAAACTTGGCCCTAGCCTTGATTGCCTATTTCATTTTCCCCATTCTGATTTTTTACCTATTTATATTTTGCAGTTTTATTATATAAATTCCCATAAACTGACTCTGTTTTGTGAAATATAGTATATATTGATAAATATAATTGAAGTGTTCTCTTCTTGGGCATTTGGCTTTCAAATAAACTCTAAAGTATTATATGTTTTAACTGTTTAATGCATTAGCCATGGGAGTAGTTCTCCAGAAGTGTTGGGTTATGAATAGCACCTAACCAAAGTGGATTGAAAAGAAAAAATGGGATAAGAAGGTAAGAGAGAAAGTTCTAAGGAAAAACATAACTTTTTTTAAGCAACTGATGCATAGCTAATATGATCTACAAGCAGAAACTTATATGTATATATATTTTTATTGAGAACTCTACTATATAATAGCAAACTGTAGGTTCCTTAGGTTGTTGGATGAACAGGGAAGGGACGGAGCAGTGAGAACAGTGAAGGAAGAACTAATTGTAGTCGTTGCCAAACTTTAGTGGGCATCAGAGTCAGTCGTTTGAGGAGTTTGTTAAATGGATGCTGGTTTGCCAGGCCTGGGCTCGGGGCCTGCATGTGTGTGAAGTACATCCAGGAGATTCTGGCTCAGGGGGCTGGGAGAAGTTCTTGCATTTCTTACCCCCTTAGCACTGGGGAGAAAAATGAAAAGGTGGGCTGTCTTAAAAACTTGCTCTGAGTCTATCCAGTTTTTGGATGAGGAGTTCCTGTTCGGATTTTCTGCAACTCTTTGTGAAATCGGATAATGTAATGGGCATGATGTCATTGACATTACACAGCCCTAGCTCCAAAAAAAATACTCATTATGTTAGATGGTAGTTGGAAGCAGTTTGTAGCTGATTTCTCTCTCTCTTTCTCTTTGTCTCTTTCCCTCTCTCCTTCTTCTACTTCTGCTTTTAGCTTAAGGGAAGACACTTCACCAACAGCTTGTCTGCAAACAGTTTGGAGAAAGGCAATGGGAATACTTAAAAAAAAAAAAAAACCAGTCTCGGGCTTCTCACTATGGGCCTTCTCCAGGAGTGTGGAGTAACACTAAACCCTGCTGTATGAAAATTAGCTCAGCCTGGGATGTACTGCACCAGATGCGGAAAGTTGGGAACGGGGACAACTTAGCATTAATATGATAATGCTACATGCACAGTCTAGAAAGGTCAGGGATTCTTTTGCACTGCTGCCTCTGACTTTCTTTTCACCCATTTAGTGAAAGCATCATACTTATCACCTATAATACTGTTACTAATTCAGATTTTAATTTCTCTAAGAATTACCTGGATTTAGGGCTCAATGGAGGCAGTTTTTAAAAGAGATTTTTCTTAAATAGATGTTTTCTTTTAGAATAGTTTCTGATTTAGAGAAAAATTGTGCAGATAGTACAGAGAGTTCCCGTCCACCCTACACCCGGTTTCCTCTCTTATTAATATTTTATGCTGGTGTGGGACATTTGTCACAGCTAATGAACCAATAATGATACATTTTTACTAACTAAACTCCCCAGATTATTCGGCTTTCTTTAGTTTTTACCTAATGTCCCTTTTCTGTGTCAGGATGCCATCCAGAATACTCCGTCACATTTAGTTGTCACATCTCCTTAGGCTCTTCAAGTCTGTGGCAGTTTCTCAGACTTTCCTGGAAAGTTTTTGGTGAGCTTAAAACCTTGAGGAGTGCTAGTCAGGTATTTTGTAGAATATCTTTCACTTCGGGTTTGTCTGATGTTTCTCTCGTGGTTAGAGGGGATATGGGGTTTTGGGGAGGAGGACCACAGAGGTGCAGTGCCTATTTCATTACATCACGTCAATCACATCATTATACATTACACATGTCCATCCTATTGACATGACTTATTACTGTTCGTGTGAACCTTGATCACGTGCCTGAGCTAGTGTTGGTCAGGTTTCTCCTATAAAGTTACTTTTTCCCCCTTTCCATACTGTACTCTTTGGAAGGAAGTCACTATGCACAGGCCACACATAGGGTGTAGAGGGTTATGCTCCACCTCTGGAGGGGGACAAAATATAAATACATTATTTGATATTTGTCTGCTTGGCAGATTTGTCTCCTTCCCCTCATTTATTTATTTATTCAATCATTTATTTAGGTCAGTGCGGGCTTGTGGATAATTATTTTATATTTTAGGTTATAATCCAATACTACATTATTTTGCTGCTCACACTGTTCCAGTTTTGGCCTTTGGGAGCTCTTTCAGTTCACTCCTATGTCTCTTTGTGACATCCGTTCTCCTTGTGGCTTTTTTTTTTTTATTCTGGCATTGCAAGATGCTCTTCCTTATTCTGGCATTGCAAGATGCTCTAGGCTCATTTTGTATATTCCCTGCCCCATCCCTGAGATCAGCCATTTCCCCACGGAGCCCTGGTTCCTTTTATTAGAGAATGGTATTAGAAACCAAGTTCTGGGTACTGGGTGTCCTTGTTGCTACTAGGGTGTCACTGCTTCTAGGTCCTCTCAGCTGTGAGAACAAGGAAATAGACGTATGTATACTAACCCCTGTATATACATATATCTGTATTATTATAGATCCATCTGTATCTCTATTAAGGCAAACATGAGTTCATCCTGATGTCTGCAACGCTGGTACACTACTGCGTGGATCAGTCGAGCCTTTCTCCCGTGCTTGGCTGCAGACTTCCACTCCAATAGTGAAAAACTGCTTCCCACTATCCGCCATCCATTTACTTACATGTATAGTGGTTTCAAATGGTTAACCAGTACCACCCACCCCTCAGCTTTCCCAGCTAGAGTTCAGTGCTTATGTGAAGTTCCTTTTGCATAGAGTCTTAGAGTCTCCACTCATTTCCAGAGGTACTTAGGTCAGCACCTTTTCCCTCACTCCCTTCTGAGAGGTTATTTCATACATTTTGCACTCAGCATTCCATCCTGGTATCTCTTGACTCCCTACATGCTTTTTATTTTTTTTAATTGCATTCATTCAGGTTCACTGCTGTAAAGTTCTATGGGTTTTGACAATGCTTAGTGTCCTGCATCTACCTTTACAGCATCATATGGAATAGTTTTACTGCCCTAAACAATCCCTTGTGCTAATGAAGTCATTTTTAAGAGCTTGAAAGTGCTGCAGGTGGAAGAAATAGGGATAAATAATAGAAAACAGTTTCTTATAGGAAAAGGCAAGGAAAAGAGGCCTTGCCGTTTGCTGCTTTAGGAGAAGGCAAGGTCTGGGGCCCTGAGGATGTGTTCAGGTTAGAGTGATGAGACATGACTAAGGAAATAGTGTGGGGTGGGTTTTTCATTTTAGCAAAAAGCCTCCAAAGAATTCTAGTTCATGTACCTCTGATTTAGATTGGGGAGGGGATGGGAGGGGACAGGTGTCCTGTCTCTGGCCTCTCCACTTACTTCCCAAGCCCTCCAATGGCCTCAGCTCACCATTTGGTTTAACATCCTGCCAAGAGTCCTGGCAACCAGTTGCATCTGAAAGCAGTTCTGGTTTTCATTCCAACTGATGTTCGGAAACTGTTCCGCTGTCAGGCTGTCACCTGGCTGAAGCCCGGGTTGGGTTGCACCTGTGGTTGTGAAACTAGTTCCTAAGAGCAGGCAAAAGTTGATTGAGGAAGAGGTGAGAGAATGGGACAGGTAAACTTTCAGAAACCTTGTGTGACAAATATTAATTAATCAGATTTACCAAAAAGCCATAAATATATTAGGATTCTATCCATAGAGCGGTCTGAATGGTACTCCACGCCTTACAATCCAAATCTAGTTCAGTCCACCCCCAATTTATAAGTCATTTACCTCCGGGTGACTGTGCAATAAGTGGGGACAATGGCGCTATACTTCCCTTACTCAGAAGGGGCTTGTGAAGATCAATGGAAAACGATGTGTGAAACTGCTCGGGGCACCCAAGGCAGACATGGTGCCCTTCTGCACGCTCTTCTTTCCCTTTCGCTGCCTCTTCTTCCTCCCATTCTCTAAACGTAGCTTTGGTTCTTGACTCTGCTCTTTGGATTGTACCCTCTGTGCTTGGGGTCAGCTGTCTTGTGGTTCAGTTGTCTTTATTGTGTGGATAACTTCTGCAACTCTGTCTAGCCCTTTGTTTTGAGTTTCAGGCCCGTCTGTCTTTTTGACAAACATTTCTACCTGAACGTCTCCCTAAAAAATCCATATGGTTAAAAATTAGAGTCATTCTAAACCAACTGATTGCCAGATTCTTTTACTTCTTCTGGGATAAGTCTTACAGGCTTCCAGATACTAGAGCCCTTTTCGGCTTTTCGTCATCCACCCCTCAGCCGCCAAGTCATACTGAGCTCCTTTTGTGATGTTTTCCTCCTGTCTGCTCTGCCGCCTACCTGTACCTTTGGAGTAGACTCTAAACTGTGCCCGCTACCGCCGCTCCAGTCCACCCACCTCTAGCTTGTCTTCAGACCTGTATTTTACTATTGTGAGTCTAATTTTCTTAACTTAAATTTAAACTCAGCTTGGCATCCGAAGCCCAGCTTGCATTTCTAGCTTCACCTTGCAACTCAATTAAACTGCATACAGTTTAGCTGGACTGCTTTCGTCTGCAGCATGTGGCTTCTCTCCTTTTTTGGAGCTGCTTCCTCCGTGTGCCATGATACCACACTTGGGTGAGTCTTCCCACCTCTCGGATTGTGTCTCTGTTCTTCTTTCTTTCACCTCCTAAATGAATTTGCTTTCTCATTTCTCCCTTTCCTGTTCTCTTTCTTGAAAAATTTCAGGCTTTTAGTGATCACCTTTTGGGAAGGATTCCTAAATAAGAACCCCAGCCCTATCTTCATTCCACAGGTTTTCTTTATTTCTAACTTCTTGCCAGATGTTTCTATTTGGGTACCTTTGTGTCAAATTTGAACTGATTTCCTTTCTTCTAAACATGTTCCTTCCCTTTGAGTTCCCTGGTTGATTAATGGCAACAGAGGTTGGCGGACTTTTTCTGTAAAGGGCCAGACAGTAGATATTTTTGGCTTTGTGGGCCATAAGGTCTCAGACACAACTACTCATCTCTGCCTTTGTAGCACAAAAGCAGCCATAGATAAAATGTAAATCATATGGGTGTGGCTGTGTTTCAGAAAAAACTTTACTTCAATAAAACAGGCAGTGGGCTGAAATTGGCCTACGGGCCATAGTCTGCTGACCCCTGATCTAGGTCACTCAGGCCCAAAATTCAATACTTCTTTGACTGTTCTACTGCTTTTGTTTGCTCTGTTCATATGGTTTTTAATTTCCGCTGGTTCCACCCTTATGAAAACTTTCACATTTCTAGACCATAGCTCTCTCCCATTCATTGGTCTAGTAGACAAAGTGCCCCTTTTACATGTTACTCTCCATCAAATTTACATGATCAGAGCCTTCCGGTGACTCTCCTTGGTCTATATAAGAAGGTTAAAATTCTCTAGGGCAGCTCTGTCTACGGTTTTGCTTCCAACCTTCTCTCTTACTCCCGTGGACACTCCTCCATCCACACTGGTTGAGTTCGTGTTCTGATATTGGTTCTATCTCTGCTCACCATGTGCTCCTGACTCACAATGCCTTTGGGCCTCAACGCAGGTCTCATTCTCAGGTGAAGCTCTGCCCCCGCCCAGGGATTGCTCCTTTTCTTGATCTTACTAATGCTTTTGATGTTGTCTTTACCCGTTCAGTTGAGACTGCATTGGGCTGTGTTTTATATCTTTGTGTATTTTATACCCCTCCATCTGAACTTTAGGAAGCTGTTAAGGATGGCCCAGTAGACACTCAGTCAACGTGGGGAATGGTCACACATTGAATGCTTTGTCTTACCTCCAGATCTGCTCCTCCCTTTGGAGTCCCTGTCTCAGTTAATGGCACCAGGGATGGTCATCAGCCCTGGATACTCTACGTGACTGCTCCATCCCACCTCCAATTACAAAGTCCAGCTGCTGCTCCCTCCTCTGCCTTTCCCCTGTCTACCTCCTCCTCCTCCATCCTTTCTGCTGCTGGTTTAGCTCAGGTCACCT